GCCATACACACATCCGTCAATGCGACAGGGAAGCCAAGGTAGGCCTTGTTGTTCAAAGAAGGCTTCCAAGTCGAGGAGTGGTTGTTGTCGCCAGCCGCAGCATGGGTGAGGCCATTCAAAGTGGACGGTCACCTGCTCATCTTCAAGAACAGCCTCCTTGATGAACTGGTTGGCATGCCACAGCATCCTTCTTTCCTTCCTTCGACTTGCTTGAAGCTTGGCTCTCTTTTCTTCCGTGTTGTAGTTCACAACAGATCACTGGCTCCATTTTGTGCATGGCAAGGAAATCCACAACTTCTTTGGCCGTCGAAGGCGTCGTAGTTCTCGAAGGCGTTCCCAGGTGCGGGAGTCGTAGAGGTCGTAGCCAGTTGACAAGTTGATGCGTCGAGGTCGAAGACCATGTTCCTCAGCTGCCTGGCTCAACCAACTGTGAGGGGCACAGGCAATCTCCCAGAGACCATCGTCTTCACCCAGGTGAAGTCCAGCCAACATCGAAGTTGCTGTCGCCGTCATCAGTGCCGCCATGGCCATAACCTTCTTGCCGATGAAGAGGGGCGTCGATGTGGTACCACCGGAAGATCGTGACGACGCTGTGTTCTTCAGAGCTGATCGTGGTTCTCGTTCTCGTAGCCCTGAATCAGCTCGTCGTCCTCCTGGGCCACATCCCAAGATGCCGTGGTCGCCGACGTCGTCTCGCCCTGGTTTGTACTTGCCGGGTAGGGTGTTGTCGGAGGCAGATGACCCGTCAGCAGCTCGCGCACAGCGCGTTGGAGCACGATGTCGGCCGTCACCTTGTTCATGGCGTGGTGGCAGATGGTCGCTGTGGGACGGACCTCCCCCAGGTGGGCACGCAGCTCGTTCAGCATCCGCTTGACAGTGCTCGGAGACACGATGGGCATGGCATTGGCTGGTGACCCCTTCCTGGGAGTGTACAGAAGCCGAAGGTTGCAGCACTGACATGACACCCACTGTCCGTGTTGATTCGCTTGAGGAGGTGCCGGAGTGTGCTTGTTGTAGCACGGCCACTGTTGGACATGGGTCCTGGGGTCCCGAGGGTTCGCCTTCATCCTTCGCTCCACATCCAATGAGCGAGGTCGCTGCTTCGGCTTCGGGCCTCGGGGTGGATGGTCGGTGTCGTCTGCGAAGAGCGCGCCATGAGGCCGCGGAGAGGAAGTTGACGAGGGGATAGGGGCGCGCGAGGGACCACACATTTGAGCTGTTGCAGCTGAAGAGGTGGATGAACACGATTGAGCATGCTGGTACATCATCCACATCCTAGAGCGAGCAACCTCCAACTCATGTTCATGCGGTTCACGTTCACCCACTGCGAGATCAAACCACACGGTGGCAAGCTCAAGGAACTGATGCTGCAAGGGAACAGAAGAGGCCTTTGGAGTTGGAGGGCCATTCTTGCGTACTACGGTTGATGGAGGAAATCTTGCACCACCTTATTAATAACAAGTGACACGACACATGAGCATAACCCCGCACCCCCTGTTTAATATTGACGATGATGGACACCGAGGCGGTGCAAGATTTTTATCATTGGAACCCACGCCACTTCCGAGGATCAACAGCCAATATTAAAAAGGGGGCGCGGGGTTTCTACTTTGCTTGCCCATTTAAAGCGGTGCAAGATTTCCTCCATCAACAGTATCACATGAGCTTGTCCAGTACTGCGCACATGACCACGGGTTAGGTGATGTACAATGTCCAAGGTGAGGTGACCCTTCTTGTTGATATCAAGCTGGAAGATCTTGGGGTTGGACTCCTTTGTCTTCATAGCGAGGCCTGTGGTGAAGTCTATCATCATGCCGGTACCTTGGGGTCCTAAGAAGTCCATGCCCACAAGGATGGGAACCAGGGAGGCCTTGTCGAAGTGGGATTGGTAGTACTCTGAGGGATTGGGGAGCGTATACAAGGAGAAGTGTCGAGGTACTCCGGAAACATCACTGTAGATGTGGGTCCTACACAGCGCTCGTCCCCACTTCCCATTCCCAAACCTGAAATATGGTCGCGAGGCTTGATCGAGCTCCACACGTGCTCCTCGATCTACGGAAAGAACTGCACTGATGAGGCCCTGTACAACTGCCTCCGGTGCTGCCGAGGCTGTCGCCCCGCAATCCAACATGCCGACCTTCACTTGGTCAGGGTGACCCAGCGCATCGGCCGAGTTCAGCTCCAAGTTCTCATTCAGGTTCTCGCTAAGCTCGAGGCCGCCCACGAAGTAGTCGGTAGCGTAGGCGTTCACCGTGCGACTAGGCTCCTTAACCTTTGACTTCGACTTGCCCTTCCCCTTCATCCACTGCGCTTCCAGCCACATTCCCTTTTTGCCCTTCCCACGGCCCTTGTTCTTGCCCTTGCCGACAAAGTAGTGGTCGTGGTAGTCCATGGTGTAGGTGGGCCAGGACTCCGCGGCATACGAGGAAAACTTGCCGCGGCCTCCCTTGTGGAATCCAGGGTGCCTCCGGTCGGGGCACTCTCGCACAAAGTGGTTGCCGCCGCAGTTGAAGCACTTCGGAGCATTGCCACCCTTCGTCATGTTGACAGCACCAAAGCCGCGATCGCGACGAAGAGCTTGGGTGGCCTTCTGGGCCTCCGACCATGTCCTGTTGGCCTCAGCAGCCAAACTCTCGGCCACCTGCTCAGCCTTCTGTGCCTCCTTGAGCTTCTCCGAAGCCCCATCATCATCAGCACCAGCCAAGGTCGCAGGTGCCTCCGCGGCTGCGGCCCACTCATCTTGCCACCAGTCCCAGTGCTCCGCGGGGTAGTCCTGGTCCGTGTAGTAGTCATCGTACCACCACTCATCTTCGGGCCACCAACGCTCGTGGTAGTAGTCGTCGAAGTCCACCTGCTCGGAGACGTGGAGGTTGTGGTCACCTTGACGTCCTCGGTGACCCAACAACTGATCATCCCACAAGTTCTGCAAGGCAGCCGCGACGACTTCGTAGTCCAAGCTGTTCTTGGTAGTCGACAAGATGATGAGCTGGCCGTGGCGGACTCCTTCATCATGAGCGTGTTGAGAGATGGCGGCTGTTGCAAGCCGCGGGCCTATCGGCTGAGGAGAAGCGGGACAATGGCTTCCAAGGGAGCGGGCCCATCAGGACGACCAGCAGGAAGAAACACCACTCCTTGGCGTTGACTGCCAGCACCACGGTTGCTCGGTGAAGATCCCGTCGCTCCTGGGGGTCCACTCACATCAGGTGCTTGCCCTTCCGGTAGCCGTGAATCGCTTTCAGGAGCAGCATCTTCATCACCGTGGCCGGGCTCCGCACCACCATCGCCAGTCTCGCCATAGGTCTCCTCGTCCTCCCACCAGCCCCAGGAAGCACCAGCCCAGGCTTCATCTTCCCATTCTTCTTCAGGAGGCAAGCCAAAGTCCCTTTGGTCTTGGGACAGCCCAAGCTTCTCTTCATGAAGTCTGATCAGAGCCTCCGTGAACTCCTCCTGAACCAAGGTTTCGCGAACAAGGAAGCTGCCGATCGTCTCGTGAGGCTGGCGTTTGAAGGCGAAGTACTGCTGGCAAATCGCCGCTGCATTCGGCAAGGACTTTCGAACCAGTGGCGAGGCTGCGAGCCTCTGAAGAAGCAGCTTTGTCCCCGACGGAGAATCCACCACCAGCTTGGACCAAGACATTGCAAGGAGACGGGCAGGGCCAGAAAGGCGTCCAAGAAGTTGCGAGGCGCAATAGCGCCGCTTGTGGACTGGTGTCCCTTGAAGGTACCAGGCCACTTCCCTGGTGTATCGCCGCCAAGTGCGAGCAGACCCATCCCAAGAGGGGATCGTAGATCGTTCCTTGCTGTCGGCCATGTCGCAGTCGAACTGTGTCTCAAAGGAAAACTGCACGCCAGACCAAGTGGCGCCGGAGCAGCTCTAAGCTCAACAGTTGTTGCCGATCTTGCCCTTCAGGAAGTCGGTAAGGCTCTGGAGCGGACTGCTCCGCTACCATGCAGCGGGTAGCAGCAGGTAACGTAATGTTGGGCTCTGACTCGTGAGGTTGTTGTGGGGTCCAGCTATCTCTCTCTCACGTAAGTGCACACAGCACTGGTTTTCTCGTGGCGCACAAGCGCGCCGTCCGTGGCTCAGGTAGCCGTCAGAACCTGCCTAGAAAAAGGGGCCCCTTGGTCTAAGCCTATACATCGTGGGTTGCGCACAACTGATACATGAACTGACACATCAAGGCTTCACAATTCGCAGAGTCTGGAGTCCAGGGTGGAGGGTTTGGTTTAGTACGTTTTAAAGTTTCAGGAAAACCTACTGAATCGTTCTAACCCATCCTTCAGCCCAAATCCGAACCGGGGATGTCTTGGGACAGCAATCGCCTGAAGCCTGACCACCGCTCTGTCCCGATAATTCAAACAAAACCGCAACCCAAACCCACAAAGCTTAACCTGAAACCCTCACCCTCAATCCCAAAACAAAAATCCAAAACCAAACCCCAAGGCCTAAACATCTAAACCCTCAAGTCCGAACCCTTCGAACCCTACATCCCAACCCTTGCCCGTACACAAAGTCCTACGTACCTTGAACGCCCCTAACCCTAAACAAGTAACGGCTTAGGGTTTAGACTGTGTGGTTTGCAATCCTTCAAGTCCCTGCAGTTGTGACCCTTAAAGAGCTAAACGAAACGTCTCAGGCCACTTTGGACATGTACCAAAGGTCCCAGTGCGCGTGTGTAGGCTGTGGGTCGATAGGGCTTAGGTTTAGGGTTTAGGGTTTAAGGTTTAGGGTTTAGGGTTTAGGGTTTAGGGTTTAGGGTTTACGGTTTAGGGTTAGGGTTTCGGGTTTAGGGTTTAGGGTTTCGGGTGTCGGGTTTCGGGTTCAGGGTTTAGGGTTTAGGGTAGACGCCACCGTTGGGGCTTAGAATGATGTCTGCGCCTTCGCACCCGAAACGAACCCTAAACCCTAAACCCTAAACCCCAAACCCTAAATCCTAAACCCGAAACCCTAAACCCTAAACCCTGAAACCGTAAGTCCCACAGCCCTGCTAAGGGACAAGCTCGTCGATCGCGAGCTCTGGCTCGTCCAACGAAAGCACCACGGCGCCTCACAAGCGCAGTTCGGGGTTAGGGTTTGGGGTTTGGGGTTTAGGGTTTAGGGTAGTTTAGGGTTTAGGGTTTCGGGTTTAGGGTTTCGGGTTGAGGAGGTTCATGGTACTTATTAACTTATTATAATTATACTTATAACCCACATACAATCTGACACCGTTGAACCCTATGTGAAGTCAGGAAATAAACCCTAAACCCTAAACCGCCTCATGCAGCTATACATATGTTGGAAGATCTGGGAGCCCGAACTACAACCTGACACGCCCAAAGCCCTCAACCCACAAAACTCGTCAAATCGTAACATGAAATCCAAACACCCGAAAACCACAAAATAGGGATTCGGCATGCCTAAAACCCTACAAACCCTACACGCGTGCCTTTCTGCCGCTCCTCGTCCCAATCGACACGCTCGACGCGCATCCCTGGTCGGCATCACTCTAAGCAAGCCGAAACCCCCAACCCCGAAACCCGAAACCCTAAACCTCTTAGGCTTAATCTAAGGGTAGCTACATGGCCGCTTAATATGGTCGCCTTTCTCCTTTGCAGGGTCCTGACGTATGGGCCCTTTGGTTGTGTAAGGTACGTAAGGGGTATAGACGGGGTGCCCTTTCAAGCGCCCATGCGAAGGGACCATGTACCTACCCTAAGACTGGCAAGGGTTACAAGAGCCCTTGGGATCGACTCCGGGCGTTGGGGCATCGTGCCAGATTTCGCAAAACTCCTGGTTTAGGGGTCTAGGGTTCAGGGTTTAGGGTGTAGAGTTTAGCGTTTAGGCTTTAGGGTAACAACAATTTTCCCGGCTTTGAGGGTTGAGAGGTTTGCGGGCCTCTTGGGTCGGCGGCCTGAGCCGGAGGCTCCTAAATTTAGGGCGGCAAAAACAGGTCCATCGTCAGGGAACAAACTTCGAAGGCATGGCTGCTGCTACGGCATGGTGATAATCCAGGGCCCTCTAACCTAAACCCTAAACCTCAAACCCTAAACCCTAAGCCCTAAACCCTAAACCCTGAACCCTAAACCTCTAACCCTATACAAAAGTGAGTGCCTAAAACCCTGAAACCCAAAAACCCGCCCTGAGCAAAGGTGCAGGAAATCCTAGGAAGCCCCTTTGGCCAACTAAACGCCTTAGAGACCTAGAAGCTCTAAACCTCAGTAGCCCTAGAGAGCCCACTCTGCCCCAAACCCATAACCTTGGGATGTTCTTCCTTATACTAACAGTCTTTAGTAGGGACGACAATAGGGGGTACTATCATCCCTACAGTAGGGGGTACTATCATCCCTACAAAGGACTGTTCGTAGAAGGGGAGCATCCCAACCAAAACCCCTAAAACCTCAAACCCTAAACCCTACACCCTAAAACCCTAAACCCTAGACCCTAAGACCCTAAACCCCTAAAACCCCTACAACCCCTAAAACCCCTAAAGCCCCTAAAACCCTAAACCCCTAAAACCCCTAAAACCCCTAAAACCCCTAAATAAACCCAAAAACCCTAAACCCCTAACACCCCGAAACAAAAACCTTAAACACACCAGGTTGTTTGCAGAGCCTTGGATCTCATCCTCGGGGCGGAACTGTGCCCGGAGTGCGGCCGGCACCGCCTCAAAAATCGGAAGGCGGGGGAGGGGGGGGAGGGGGCGGCTTAGGTAGGATTTAGGGTTTAGGGTTTAGAGGGTTTAAAGGGTTTAGAGGGTTGAGGGTTGAGAGGGCTTATAGGGTTAAAAGGGTTTATGGGGTTTTAGGGTTTACGGCTTATAGGGTTTGTAGGGTTTATAGGGATTATAGGGTTTATAGGGTTTAGAGGGTTTATAGGGTTTATGGGTTTGTAGGGTTTATAGAGTTCAAAGGGTTTATAGAGTTTATAGGCTTAGAAAGGGTTTATAGGGTGTTTACGGTTTACAGGGTTTATAGGGGGGGTTTAGGGTCTAGGCTCGCAAGACAGTGTTTCGGGAATATCTGGAATACATTTCTTCACATCATCCAAAGGGTCCGAATGAATTACCCTGAATTCTGACGGGGATACCCTAAGGCCTCCCTTATCATGCTGCCTGGAGATGTGTGCTGCAAACGGTTTTGCGTGCTGCCTCAGGTGTTGCACATCTGCAGCCTGCAGCTTCACCTAAACTCTAAACCCGAAAACCTAAACCCTAGACCCTAAACCCTAGACCCTAAACCCCAAAACCCAAAACCCAAAACCCTAAACCCGAAACCCGAAATCTTCAGAGGCCTGAGGGCTTATGCCAAGCCGAGGCACCAGGGCGGCCAAGTGCCCCAGGCCAATGTCCACCATGATCTCGGTTTCGGGTTTAGGGTTTAGGGTTTAGGGTTTGGGGTTTAGGGTTTAGGGTTTAGGGTTTAGGGTTTGGGGTTTGGGGTTTGGGGTTTGGGGGTTCAGGCCTGAGGTTGCCAATTTCCCTTTAAAACCCGACGGCCCATACTTCAGAACCCTTTAAAGGAAGTAAGGGACCAAAGTAAAAGCCCACATAGCTACCCGTAGAATATGCTGTCCTAAAGGCTCCTATGTAGTACTTTTGCGGGTTTAGGGTTTAGGGTTTAGGCTGACGGGGGGGGGTGGGGGGAAGTGTGGAAGAACTGGCTGCCACGATGAATCCGAGCGAACTGGGTCCGCTTGCAGGTGTTGGTGTACCTTTGCCGGCCCTCCTCCGCCCCCCCTCTCTTACACGAACCCTGTCCCTGAAAGCCCAAACCATAAACCCTAAACCCCAAACCCCAACCCTAAACCCCAAGCCCCAAACCCTAAATCCCGAACCCTGAGCTGCGGGCCACTTTTGCTGAGACGTCCACGACCACCCCATCCACAAACTCGCCGACTCGCAAGCCCGCCTCCTGCGAAGCTACCCGGTCTTCCGAAATCGCTCAGGGTGCAGGGTTTAGGGTTTAGGGGCTCAAGGGTGCAAAACAGCTCAGGGTGTGGGGTTGATATAGGGCTTCGGCTTCGGGAAAACTTCTGAAGACATGTTGAGTTACCGTGTGCTTCTAAGGCATGTAAGGGCTACTCCGGATCGCCAAGCTCATTGGAAGCTTGCGGGCGGGAAGCGTTATGGGAACGTTGCCAGCTAAGGTTCTGAGGGTCCATGCTGTAAACCCTAAACCCTAAACCCTAAGCCCTAAACCCTAAACCGAGGGTCCTTGCTGTAAGCCTATCGACCCTAACCCCAGCTCTCTGAAGCCCAGGGTTCCCAGTTCGGCCTTACATTCGGCAAATGTTTTCAGGGTTCGGCGTGGGAACGGGGAGGGGACAGGGTTTAGGGTTTAGGGTTTAGGGTTTAGGGTTTAGGGTTTAGGGTTTAGGGTTTAGGGTTTAGGGTTTAGGGTTTAGGGTTTAGGGGCTGCAGAAGCAAACTTCTCCTAATAATCTTCTGGCATATTTATCTACTAATTGATTAAGAACCCCGAAAAATATTCTTCCTTCTTAAGGGTAAAATTGGGCTTGTTAGTTTTTAGTCTTTTGGGGTTCTTAAGCAAAGAGTAGTTATGGTTTAAAATAACCAAACTATGAACCTTTCCTCAAGTAAATCAGAAGCCAAGAAATGCACGCTTGTCAGCCTGGACCGAACTAGATCGTGGACTGCGACATGCAACTCTAAGATGTGCAAACAAGCACTCTGGGCGAGTAAGACCCCAAACCCCCTAAACCCTAAACCCTAAACCCTAAACCCTAAACCCTAAACCCCAAACCCTAAACCCTAAACCCTAAACCCTAAACCTCGCGGACCTGGCTCTTCGGTGGGGGCCCCGGCGCGCGCGGCGCGGGGAGCACCGCCGCGGGGGCTGGTGCCGCAACCTCTTTTCGGTGCAGGATCTAGGGATGCGGACTTTTTGGTTAGGGTTTAGGTTTAGGATTTAGGATTTGGGATTTAGGGTTTAGGGTTTAGGGTTTAGGGTTTCTGTTTCGGGTTTAGGGTTTAGGGTTTGGGGTTTGGGGTTTGGGGTTTAGGGTTTATCCGCCGACCCTGGCGGCGTGTTGGATGGGAAGGTGTAAAAAAACCCCTCTTTGGGGCTGCCCCTCCACCCCTACCCCCCACCCCCCTACTACCCCCCCCCCTACCCCCCCCCCTACCCCACCCCCCCAAGGCGGCTTGAGCCGGAGGCTCTTAAATCCGGGCACGCCCGTGGTCCGACGCCGTTAGGCGCCAGCCCTAGCTTTAGCTATGACGGGGGGGTTAAGCCGCTGACCCGGTTGGCTCCCCAACATCCGGCTCCAAATGCGGCTCCCGAAGGGCATCATGTTTCAGGTACAATTTTTATCGCGAAAAACGCGCTATTTCCCACCGAATTTGGGCTCCTGGACGCATTTTGTTGGGTGTGCTATGGGGGGTCCCAAAAACGACCCCGGAGAGCATCATCGACTCTCTTTTTCAACTTTGGCCAAATACGCGTTGTTGATGTTTTTTTGGGTGGCATTGGCCACCCCAAAGGACCCCCACAAGAGCGCGCATCATGAGCATCAGCGGGTTGGGTTTTGGGTTTCGGATGCGGCTGAGAGCTTGGAAAACACAGAAATCGCTGTAAATACCGTGGTTTTCGTGCTGTTACGGACATTTCCGTTTTGAGGCCGGCATATGCCCCTATAAGCCATGCATGCCTGGAGGCCGGAGCCGCTGATGCTCATGATGCGCGGCCGGGCGGGGGGCCAGGGTGCGCATCATCGAGGCTTCGTTTCTCTTTGGGGACCCGGGGGGCGAGCATCAGCAGCATCAGTGGCTCCGGAAAGGGTTTCGGGCGGCAGGATTTCGAAGGATGCTGGCATAACTCCATAACATGGCACTCGACATGCGCGCACACGCGCGCGCGCGCCCGCGCGTCTAATGTTCAACTATTGGCTGAGTAAGGTGCTGACGATCATGCACATGAACACCTCCACGGTGTTTGCGAACGTGAAAACTGTACATGCACACTTCCACAGTGTGGCCATGCACCTCCACGGTGTTTCTGAACATGAACACCTCCACGGTGTTTGCGAACGTGAAAACTGTACATGCACACTTCCACAGTGTGGCCATGCACCTCCACGGTGTTTCTGAACATGAACACCTCCACGGTGTTTGCGTCGTTGTTGTTGTTGTTGTTGTTGTTGTTGTTGTTGTTGTTGTTGTTGTTGTTGTTGTTGTTGTTGTTGTTGTTGTTGTTGTTGTTGTTGTTTGTTGTTGTTTGTTGTTGTTTGTTTGTTTGTTTGTTGTTGTTGTTGTTGTTGTTTGTTGTTGTTTGTTGTTGTTGTTTGTTGTTGTTGTTGTTGTTGTTGTTGTTGTTGTTGTTGTTGTTGTTGTTGTTGTTGTTGTTGTTGTTGTTGTTGTTGTTGTTGTTGTTGTTGTTGTTGTTGTTGTTGTTGTTGTTGTTGTTGTTGTTGTTGTTGTTGTTGTTGTTGTTGTTGTTGTTGTTGTTGTTGTTGTTGTTGTTGTTGTTGTTGTTGTTGTTGTTGTTGTTGTTGTTGTTGTTGTTGTTGTTGTTGTTGTTGTTGTTGTTGTTGTTGTTGTTGTTGTTGTTGTTGTTGTTGTTGTTGTTGTTGTTGCTGTTGTTGCTGTTGCTGTTGCTGTTGCTGCTGCTGTGCTTGCTGCCGTTGTCCTGCTGCTGGTGGGCGTGCCCGGCTGTGGGCGACAGGCCGTTAGATTGAAAGTAATAAGGATTCAGGTGTGGGAAAAAATCCGAGGAGTTTCGGGGAGTGTCGAGAAAAGTTGCAAGGTGTTCTCCTATAACTTTTGATAGTTCAGGTTGCAGGGTCTTGAGGGGTAAGGGTTTGGGATGTTCCCCTCTTATGCCAACAGTCCTTGATAGGGATGACAATAGAGGGTACCAAATCCCCATTGAGGTCTGTTAAAAGATGAACATCCCAAGTTTAGGGATTAGGGCTGATAAGGGCTCACCATTCCCCCATAATTACAAGTCTGACATACTTGTAGTAAAACAATCGTCCTTGCATGGGTTTGGGGCTATGTTTTACATACTTTGGGGGTCCAGGTGGGGTGTAGCGGAACTGGGGGAATTGCAGCTCGGTAGCCCTGCAAGGACCGGGAACCTAGTAGCAAGAATTGGACTTTTAAGGCTTTTACGGGCCTTTATTGGGTTGGCTTGAGGTGATTGCAACTTACTACTGGCTATCGGGCACCCCTACATGAAAAGGAGTCTAGTGAGTGGACTTCACTATACCCTACACCCTGAACCCCTTAACCTTAAACCCTAAACCTGAACCCTGAACCCTAAACCCTAATCCCTAAACCCCAAACCCTAAACCCCAAACCCCATCCCTATAGCGCCTGCGCGGGAGCCGTGGGAGCCGTGGGGGCCGGGCGAGCCGGGGGAGCCGTGGGAGGCGGGGGTCGGCTGCCCTCTTGGCGGAGGAGGTCCGCAACCTAACAAGGCGTTTGGGTTTTTGGCGGGGGTTTAGGGTCTAGGGTTTAGGGTTGAGGGTTTAGGGTTTAGGGTTTAGGGTCTAGGGTTTAGGGTTTAGGGTTTAGGGTCTAGGGTTTAGGGCTTAGGATTTAGGGGGGTTTAAAGGGTTTGAAGGGTTTAAAGGGTTTAGAGGGGTTTAGGTTTTATAGGGTTCAGGGCTACGCTGGTTGAGGGTTTTTGGGCTTTATGCGGGGCACCCAAGCGTTCCAAAAGACGGCAGTTAGTATAATCAGAGCGTTTTCTCTGACGTTTCCCTGATTAGAGCGCCGTTTTCCAAATTTACGGGTACACTTCGGGATAGGATTTACAAATCCTAAGCCCTAACCCTAAAGCCTAAACCTGAAACCCTAAACCCTTCGGCTTGAAAGATGCGCCACCCTCTTGTTCTTTACTCAGGTACATGAGGGAACCACCCTAAACCCTAAACCCTAAACCTCAAACCCTAACCCCTAAACCCTAAACCCCAACAAAGGGAGTAACGGTCGTGCTGGTACTCCTGGGTCTGGGGTTTAGGCTTTAGGGTTTAGGGTTCAGGGCTGGTGGAGTCAACCCCGAAACCCAAAAAAACCCGCAAGCAAAATCTCTGCCACAAAGATCCACAAAGGAAGGTTTGTGTACAACCCAGGGGGTCCACTTATAGACAGAGATAGGTACCAAAAACCTATGGAGTATGGCTTTTGGTACCTGTTTAAAACCTAAACCCGAAACCCTAGACCCTAAACCCAAATTAAACCCTAAACCCTAAACCCACAAGAGTACTATAGGTGGACCCTCTGGTTACACTTGAGTCGCCCACTGTGATCGGCGCAGAATCCACGATCACCTGGCTTTGGCGGGACGCGCGGGAACCAAAGCCCCAAACCTAAAGGTTTAGGGTTTAGGGTTTAGGGCTTGGGGTTTAGGGTTTAGGGCTTGGGGTTAAAGGGCCTACAGGGTCCAGAGGGTCTACTTGGAGGTTCATGGGTACCTATAACCCCGATTATAACTGTACTTAGATATAACCTACTTAGACGACTCCCTTCAGGTTACCACCTGCCATCTTGAACCCCAAGCCCTAAACCCTGAACCCTCAGCCGCGTAAGCCCGAGAAACCTTTGTTTGTCATGCAGGTGTCGGGCTTAGCCCTGAACCCCAAAGCCTAAACCCTAAACCCTAAACCCCAAACCCTAAACCCTAAACCCCAAAACCTACACCCCAAACCCTAACCCTAAGGATGGAGGGTTTGAAGAGGGTTTACAAGGGTTTCAAAAGCCTTTTAACGGGTTTTCAAGGGCTTTTCAAGAGGTGCATAAAGGTCTTCTCATGGGTTTCACAGGGTTTTTGTTTGAGGGTTGTAAAGTTGTTTTGCAGTTTTCGAGGGTTTTGGGCGGGCTTTGAAGGGTTTTAAAAGGTTCTTTAAAGGGTTTTAAGCGGCTTTAAGGGTTTAAAGGGTTTCCAGGGCTCAAAGGGTTTTAAGGGCTTTAAGTGCTTCAAGGGTCGAAAGGATTTAAGGGTACTAGTTGTTTAAAGGGCTCAAGGGGCTTGAAGGGGTTAAAAGGGTTTAAGAGGCTTAGGGTCCAGAACAAACCGGTCGAGTCCTCAAACCAGCGTCGCCGCCGAAACCGTAGACCCTAAACCCTAAAACCTAAACCCTATACGTTCAACCCCAAACCCGAAAGCCTAAACCCGATATGGGGGGTTTCCGAATTTAGATGTCTATACCTTATTGTAAGGGAGCCCGTCTATATTGGGGGTCCCCTATATTCGTAAACTCCCATCCCTAAACCCTAAACCCTAAACCCTAAACCCTAAACCCTAAACCCTAAACCCTAAACCCTAAACCCTAAACCCTAAACCCTAAACCCTAAACCCTAACAATGGTGGCACCTCCGGGTGCTCCATGGTAAGGCCGAGCTTCTTGCGCTCGAGGTCTATACCTGCACTTACCCCCACAGCGCTGAACCCCTAGGGTTTAGGGTTTAGGGTTTAGGGTCTAGGGTTTAGGGTTTAGGGTTTAGGGTCTAGGGTCTAGGGTGCTTGGGGTTTACTGCTCAGGGTCTAGGGTGTAGGGTTTGGGAACCCTACACCCAAACCCCAAGTCATTTTCCGAGCAGTCCTAAACCCTAACCTCTGAACTAGAGAGAGAGAGAGAGAGAGAGAGAGAGAGAGAGAAAAAAAAAAGAAACCCTAAACGCTAAACCATAAACCCTAAACACTAAACCCTAATCCCCTTTAAACAAAAAAAGAGAAACCCTAAACCCTAAAGCTTCATCAGTGTTGAGCAGAGTTGGCGACTCAGGGTCGGCATGCCGGCCCCAAGTAGGCGCTTCGGGGTTTTCGGGTTTAGGGTTTAGGGTTTAGGGTTTAGTGTTTGGGGCTCGATGTAGTCTGTTGCGGGACCTGAAACCTAAACCCTGCCACATCCTAAACACTGAACCCTAAACCCTGCACACTAAACCCTAAATCCCAGACCCTAAACCCTAAACCCTAAACCCCCAAACCCCAAACCCTAAACCCTAAACCCTGAACCCTACTGAAGCCCTCAAAAAACCACAAAAAGCAGAGGATGCACGAGAACTTCTAGCTTCAACCTTCGTCTCAAGATGCCCCCCCCCCCAAAAAAAAAAAAAAGCCTGACATGCCCCCATCCAAAACTACTATTTGCTGAAGAACCCCCAAAAAATTAAACATAATCATCCCTATATTGCCCTTATGAGGAGTATCATGTTTTTTTTTTTTTTTTCATTTTTTTTCTTTTGGGGGGGAGGGGGTTCTTAAGCAAATAGTAGAGAAGCTTAAGGAAGGCTGTCCTGAGGAGGTTTAGGGTTTGGGGTTTAGGGTTTAATGGTTGAGAGTTTAGGATTTAGGATTTAAAGGTCTCTATAAGCCTAGTGGAACACCCTAAGCCCTAAATCTTAACAATCAACAAATGCACCCTCTGACTGACCTTCGGTCCTTCTCACTTCTTAAAAAATGGCGACCTCTATTTCAGAACCAGGGCCCCCAACCAGGTTTGTTGTTTTTGTTTATGGTTTCTTTCTTCAAAAGGGGTTGAGGCCCCCTGGCTAGCAAGTCTAGAAACCCTAAACCCTAAACCCTAAACCCAGGAGTAACCTAGGAATAACATGGGTGCCCTTTCTGGGTTTTTAAGGGGATTGTAAGGGAACCCCTGCCCTAAAAAAAGGAAATAAGGGTCTACTCCGGGTCCTAGTTACCCTAAACCCTAAACCCTAAACCCTAAACCCTAAACCCTAAACCCTAAACCCTAAACCCTAAACCCTAAACCCTAAACCCTAAACCCTAAACCCTAAACCCTACAGAAGTTATCTCAAGAGGCACGTTCCACGACGATGTCGGGAAGATACTGGCCAGCTGAGAGCTGATCCGTGTACCTGGTTCGAGCTTTCGGGGGTGTAGGGCTTAGAGGGTACCCTAAACCCTAAACCCTAAACCTTAAACCCTAAACCCTAAACCCTAAACCCTAAACCCAAAACCCAAAACCCTAAACCGGTTTCAAGGGTTTAGGGGTTTGCAAGGGCTTATAGGGTTTGTAAGGTTATAGGCTTCTGTAGGCCTTATAGGGCTTGTTGTGGGGATCCCACCTTCCTCCCCTCCCGCCTCCCCCCCTCCTCCCCAGGGTTTAGGGTTTAGGGTTTAGGGTTTAGGGTTTAGGGTTTAGGGTCCGGAATGGTGCTGCAAAGGGACCCTCTGGGTTTGAGGGTCCTGGAGTTTCAGCCAAAAGCGTAGCTCGGTGTAGCTTCAAGGAAGTATGCTCCCAATAGCTCAGATACAATTCCCTTAAGAGGTAGTTTTGCAGGTCTTGGATTTTGTGCTTCCGGGTTTAGGGTTTAAGGCTTAGGGTTTAGGGTTTTGGAATCCCAAACCACAAAACCCTAAACGCTCCCGGACCTAATCTTGCCTCTGAAGGCCAAGACGTTGCGTGGACCCTTTTGTGGGAGATGGCTTCAACTCCCTCTTTCTGCGGGGCAGGCTGCGAGGAAGTAGTGACTTTTTGAGGTCGGGTGTGTCAGTTTTGCCAGCACGGTGCTGGCCTTACAAGCCCGAAACCCGAAACTACATGCAACTATCCGGAGATGGTAAGAACTCTCTTGGATTATGGTAGCAACTATGTATAACCACTGTCATATATCCATAAATAAATACATAAGTAAGTAAATAAACAAATAATAAAGACATATATATATATATACACATAATGTCTTAACCCAAAACCGCTCAAACTCAATCCTCAACGCCTCGGGGTGCCTGCGCGGAATGTTCAGGCGCCCGATGACTTCGGCTCCCACGTTGACCTGGAGAGTTCTACAGAGGAGTGGTTAGAATATAGGGCTGTCGGGGGCCTAGTACGAGGTCAGGGATTATATTCACGGGGTTTAGGGTTCCAGGGGCTTTGCGGCGGTTAGGGCAGAACTGTAGAGGGCTCAGAAAACGTTTAGGGTTTGTAGAGTCGAGGGGACCGAAGGCAATGCATAGCAGTTAAAAAAGAGCAGCAACCCTAAACCCTAAACCCTAAACCCTAAATCCCGACACTCTTTACCTCGGAGCCTCCATTTGGAAGGATTAGAGGACCCTGAAGTCGTCTTGGGAAGGGCTAGGCTTGACCTGGGTTGCTGACTTTTAAAGCTCAAAAAATCCGGTGGGCAACGGCTTAGGGTTTAGGGCTTAGGGTTTAGGGTTTAGGGTTGAGGGTTTAGGGTTGAGGGTTTAGGGTTTAGGGCTTAGGGTTTAGGGTTTAGGGTTTAGGGTGAGCCCACAAAGGCAGTTGAATTAAGCATGCGATGGGTATACAGAGATACCCTACTCAGCCCCAATCTCCACATGTCAACCCTCAAGCCCAAAAACCCTCACCCTTAATGGGTCTAGCAGGACCAGTGGCCTAAAGACCAACCTGAAAAAGGTCCAGGACGCTGAGGCCCAAAGCGTGGAATGTTGCACTGAGAAACCGCCACCACAAATGGGTAGGTCAGGATTTAGGGGCTTAGAGAGCCTTTGACAAGGGATATTTGGCCTTTCGGCCATTCTTTTGGGTAGTAAGAGTGGGGGTTGTACAGGGTCATGACGAAACGCAAAACCTGCAAATTCAAAACACCTCCTGAAAACGTGACGTGCAAGCTCCAAATCTCGATGGTGCCCCAAACACAAAGGGCTTTAGGGTGTAGTGTTTAGGGTTGCTGCTGTACCAACCGGAACCAAAAGGGGCTACCACCGTGCTGCCGAGATGTCCTGAACCCAAGATCCCTCCAGGTCCATTGAAGCACTGAAGCCTGCACCTAACGTTTAGATTTATAGGGTTCAGGATTTAAGGTTTAAGGGTTGTAGGGTTTTAAGGTATAGCCCTCAACCCTAATAAGCACCATAACCCAAATCCTCAGATTCAAAATTGCCCCAAATCCTTCTATGACAACCCAAAACCTCTGAAATATTAACGCCCCTGGAGCCTTCGGAGAATTAAACTCCCGTCAGACCCTAAACACTAAACCCTAAACCCTAAACCCTAAACCCTAGACCCTAGACCCTAAACCCTAAACCCTAAACTCCGGTCAGACTTGGCCGGGTGCCCAAATGCCGTAGGCATTCTTGTGATCCACCACGCCCTCGACCTAAGTTTAAGGGGTATAAAGAGGGACTGATTAGGGTTTTAGGGTTTAGGGTTTAGGGTTTAGGGTTTAGGGTTTAGGGTTAAGGGGTTAGGGAACTCCTAGAAGGGACCCTTCATCTTATTCCCCTATATACCCCTATATATAATATAGATATAGATATGGATATAGATATAGATAGAGGTATAGATAAAGAGAGAGAGAGAGATATATATATATATATACATATATACATATGTAGATATTAAAGATATTATAGATATGGATACAGAAATAGATATAGATATAGACAGATAAAAAAAAATATATATATATATACCCCATATAGTCCCTATGTACCTAGCCCCTGAATAACCCCCAACAAAACCCCTAACGTCCCTTATAACGGTCCCTCCTTTGGGCCCTCGACCTAAGTGTTGCTGCTGAATTCTCAACGGAGGACCCGGCAAACCCTACTTTGGGGGTACGGGTTGAGGGTTAAGGGTTAATAGGGTTTAGGGTTTAGGGTTTAGGCTTTAGGGTTTAGGGTTTAGGGTTTCGGGTTTAGGGTTTAGGGTTAGGGTTGGGTTAAAAAGCTAGGTTACCATACTTGAAACTGGTTATAACCTGATTCTGGGCACTTACTCTGGACCCGAAGCCCTGACTGCTCGACCCTAACTCTGTACTTCCAGGGCCAAGATTAAACTATTGCGCCCTTACGGATTCTAGTAACCTAGTCATAAGAATCGTAAACCCTAAACCCTGAACCCTAAATCCGGGATAAGGTCAGCCCCACAAACCTTCTCCGCGTTCAGAATTCAGGGCTTGATGTCCTCTAGGTTTCAAAGCGTCCGGGTGCCTCACACGCAGAGCCACCTAAACCCTATACCTAAACCCTAAACCCTAAACCCTAACCCCTAAACCCTAAACCCTAAACCCTAAACCCTAAACCCTAAACCCTAAACCTTCAAGGTGCCCTGCAACCCCGCAGTCCCCTCTGGAAGCCAGGGAGTTGGTTTAGGCGTTTAGGGGCTTTAGGGATAGGGTTTAGGGGCTTAGGAGATAGGGGTTTAGGGGTTTAGGGGTTTAGGGTTTAGGGTTTAGGGTTTGGGGTTTGGGGTTTGGGGTTTGGGGTTTGGGGTTTTTAGGGGCTTTAGCGGCTTTATAAGGGGGTTTCGGGCTCTGTGTTTACCCCCAAGCTGGGCCCGGCTTTTGGGATGTTCCCCCTTTTACTAACAGTCCTTCAGAGGGATTGATTGCAATAGGGGGTACTATTAAGGACTCCCCCCTAACCCCAAACCCGAAACCCCAAGCCCGACCCTAACCCTGGACCCTGGACCCTGGACCCTGGACCCTGGACCCTGGACCCTGGACCCTGGACCCTGGACCCTGGACCCTGGACCCTAAACCCTAAACCCTAAACCCTAAACCCTAAACCCTAAACCCTAAACCCTAAACCCTAAACCCTAAACCCTAGCCCAACCTGGCTTGTTTGTTTGTTCTTCGCACCGATTCTCGATCAAGTCTGCTTTCCGCTCACACATAGCAGGGCGCATGCACCTGAAGGCCCTAGTTCTAAGCCCTAAACCCTAAACCCTAAACCCTAAACACTAAACCCTAAACCCTAAACCCTAAACCAAACGACATTTAGGTGCATGGGCCCTTGGGAATTCTTGGATGGATATACTGCTGTGTATTCATGTCATAGGGTCGGGCTGCCGTTCGCCGCCGTGGTCGCACATAGAGCGAGCTGAACGCACACCACAATCTGAACGAAACCCTAGGATTTAGAGGTGGGGATGGGGGGGGGGGGGGGGGGGGGGGGGGGGTTTTAGGGTTTAGGGTTTAGGGTTTAGGGTTTAGGGTTTAGGGTTTAGGGTTTAGGGTTTAGGGTTTAGGGTTTAGGGTTCAGGGTTTAGGATTTTTAGCGCTACATCCTGAACCCAAATAAACCGTAAACCCTATACACCCTATAAACCCAATCAAACATATAAGACCCTGTAAGGCCTGTAAACCATGCAAAACCTGTACACCCTGTAAATCCTACAGCAAGCCCTATACCTTTCAGCACCCGACCGTGGAACTTGAACCCAGAAAGGCTTCAGCACCTGAGCACCGTAAACCACCATAGTTCACATCCACTCGAAAGAACAAAACCCTAAACTCTTGCCTAGAAAATTGAAACTCTACACTTAACCCAAACCGAGCAAACTCTGTACCCTAAACGGCCTTGAATCCTCTGATCAGATTATTTAGGGTTTGGGGGTTTACTTCAAGACAAGGTGTGATTGTGGGGTTCTTAAGGAAGGGTTTAGGGTTTAGGGTTTAGGGTTTAGGGTTTAGGGTTTAGGGTTTAGGGTTTAGGGTTTAGGGTTTAGGGTTTAGGGTTTGGTTTCGGGTTTCGGGTTTCGGGTTTCGGGTTTCGGGTTTCGGGTTTCGGGTTTAGGTTTTAGGATTTAGCGGCTTCACGGGGGGTAGGTACCTAGGGAGCCTGAGGGAGGCTCAGGCAGCCTTAGGGAGTAGTGGGGAGTATTAGGGAACCTTGGGTTACGTACCTGCCTCGAACCCCTAACCCTAAACCCTAAACCCCAAATGCTAAACCCTAAACCATAAACCCTACACCCTATATGAACCCCAAACCCCTGGCCCCCCTTAAGAACTCTATAGTGTGAAGAAGGGCCAGGGCAACCCGCGTAGAGAAAGGGCGAGAAGGCACACCTAGCAGGCTTCCTTCCCTGTAGGTTTAGGGTTTAGGGTTTAGGGTTTAGGGTTTAGGGTTTAGGGTTTAGGGTTTAGGGTTAGGGTTCAGGGTTTAAGGTGGTAGGGTTTAGGGTTTAGGGTTTAGGGGAGCTGCCTTCCCCGAAGGCGTTGCCGACTTTAGGGTTTTAGGGTTTAGGGTTTAGGGAAGGGTATCTCAGCCGAAAAGGTAGCAAGCCAGGTACCAGACAAAACCTTGTAGGACCGCGGCTTCTTCCGCTCAGTATAGGGCTTAGGGCTTAGGGCTTAGGGGCCAGGGTTTAGGGGATGACCTCTAAGGTTTGAGGCCTGAACCCTAAACCCTAAACCCTAACCCTAAACCCTAAACCCTAGACCCTAAACCCTAAACCCTAAACCTTCGGGGATTTTTGGGCGTCGCAGCAGTCGCAGCGATGGGCACCCCGGACCCTTAGTGTCTTAAAAAGGTCTGCGCCTGGCAGCCGCCCCTAAGGATCCATGCGCCCATAGAGGCTTTAGGGTTTAGGTTTTAGGGTTTAGGGTTTAGGGTTTGGGGTTTAGGATTTAGGGCTTAGGCTTTAGGCTTTAGGGTTTAGGGTTTGGGGTTTAGGGTTTAGGGCTAGGAGATAGGCCTTGGGCTTGACTTGGGGTTATACTTGGGGACTGAAGACTTGCTCATAGCCAACGGGGCCCAAAGAACTATATGGGGGGAGTTTACGTAGAGTTTAGGGTTTAGGGCTAGAGAGAGCCCCAAATAGTAGTATCCCCGTAAAATTAGGACCCCAATAAGGTACCCATAACTTCGTTAACCCCCCCTATCTATATAGGCCTCAGAAGCCCAGTAGCCATGTTATAATAAGGGCACCATTTGGGGGTTAGGGTTTACGGTTTTAGGGGAACCTATAACCAAAACAGAGGGGGAAGGGTACCACTGGGCTACCACTGTTAGGGTTTAGGGTTTAGGTTTTAGGGTTTAGGGTTTAGGGTTTAGGGTACCACTGGGCTACCACTGTTAGGGTAGTTACGTCGGCCCTGAATATGGACCCTTCATTGGGGGCCCCTAAAATACCCTTATGTACTTTCTAGAACCCACGGGCTTAGAACCAAGAGGGCTGCCCTAAACCCTGAGCCCTAAACCCTAAACCCTAGACCGTAAACCCTAAACCCTGAGCCCTAAAGCCTACATAAAAACCCCCAAAAGGGTACGGCACATGGACCTTTAGGGGGTCACCACGTGTGCGCGGATCCCGCTGCTGGGGTTTTGTGTCGTACTGGGATCCGGCAGCTTCCTGGAGTTTTCTGAAGAAAAAGTTGAAGTAGAGTTGGTCTTATCCCTAAACCCTAAACCCTAAACCCTAAACCCTAAACACTAAACCCTAAACGCTAAACCCTAAACCCTAAACCCTAAACCCTAAACCCTAAACCCTAACCCGAAAAACCAGATCATCCTCAAAATGGATGCCTCAGATATACACTTACCTGACACGAACAGGCTTCGTTGCCCAGAACAGGCGGAAGCCAACATCAGGAAAAAAAGCCAAAACAGGGTTTAGGGTTTAGGATTCAGGGTTTCAGTGCTTAATTGGGTTTTGGGGCTCCTGTTGTCCAACACTCAAAGCGACAAGCTATACGGATCAGCGCGAATCCTGGTAGATGTCGATGCCAGTGCTATCCTACGCGACCCCTGAAACCCTCAACCCTAAAAAGCAACGTATTTGCAAGGGAAGTGGGGATTCGCGTGCAGGAAACCTCAGACGATGCGCATCTGTTTCTCGGTGATCACCGAATAGCTTCGGGTCTAGGGTTTAGGGTTTAGGGTTTACGATTTATGGTTTAGGGTTTAGGAGATCCTTTCAATGTTGAATCCTGATTACCACGGGCCCCCGGAAGTCTACGAGTTTGTGCGGAATTTTGTTGGCAGAAACGAGTTGATGTGCTATCCCGGAGGTGTGCTAAGTCTTTCGGGTCGTCGGACCATTTGGCCAGGTGGCCATCTACAAGCAATCTATAAGCCACAACATTTTAGGGTTTAGGGTTTAGGGTTTATCGACCACAGCTCCCAGACCCACCCGCCGCCCCGGACGATTCAGGGAAACCCGATTGCGGAAGAAGAGGGGGCGGACACTAATCAGGGAACCAAACCAAACGACAAAAGGGAACAGATGCAATATTTTCAAGGTCCTACCCAGGACAACCCCTAAACCCTGCACCCTAAATGACACCCCTCCTTACCCCCTAACCCCTAAACCCTAAACCCTACACCCTAAACCCTGAACCCTAAACCCTAAAAACCAGAACCCTGAAGCCGT